ACTATCTGTATATATTGCATAACCTCTGTTGGCTGTTTTTATGGAAAATAAAAACAATATTCAAGAACCTTAAAAATTCAGCAGGGCTGTGGTAGCTAGCGCACACCTTTAACCCCAGCAGAAGCAGGTAGATCTCTCAGAGGCCAACCTGGTCTACAGAGTGAGATTCAGGGCAGCCAGGGTTACACAAAGAAACCCTGCCTCAAAACAAAATCAATCATCACAGACGTCTTTTAAATTCTGAGCTCTTAATAAAATATTGTCATTCTAGCTACACACTCTCCACTTAATGAATAACACAACTCAGCCCACTTCCAGTGTGGCTCTTTACTAGCAAACCAACACAGCCTGTATCCATAGTAGCACACAGGCTCCCTGTGAGAATCACAAAAAGGATGTATGGTAGTATGCATCTGTATGCTCAGTAGTACCCAGGAAGCAGGGGCAGAAGAATATGATAAGTTAAGAGGCCAACAGAGATACATAAGATCTTGCCTTGAAAACAAAACAAGCCTGGTGGTGGCGGCTCATACCTTTAATCTGATACTTGGGAAGCAGAGGCAGGTAGATCTCTGTGAGTTCAAAGCCAGTCTGGTATACAAATCGAGTTCTTGGACAGTCAAGATTACAAAGAGAAAACCTGTCTCCAAAAACCAACCAAAGACAGCATAACAGAAAGCAGTTTGAGGCTTTTGAGAGTGTTTTCTCCCATCTCACCAGTCCACTTCTACTCTCAGCAATGTTTCTCTTTGCTAATAAGTCTCTGCCCAGCACTGGGGAAGCAGGTGAAGGTGGATCTCTAAGTTTAAAGTCAATATGACATACAATGAAAACCTGTCTCAACAACAAAAATAAGCAAACTGGCTCTATTTCTTAAAAAAAAAAAAAAAGGACTAAGACCAAAACAAGTTGGCATATGTTAAGTACAAAATATTTAAGGACAAATACTACAGGTAACCAAGATTTACCAGGGTCATACATCAAAGTCTGAATACTACTCTTTATAAGTGGAGGCTACCACTGAGTTACAAGTATTTAAAAGAGTTAGCACACAGCACATCGATAATAATTTTGAGAGGTGTAAAAAGGGAGAACTATCGCTCCTAGCTTTTTAGCATTGCACCCATGTGGGAGGTTTTAGAACATCCCAACCAGTGTCCATCACAGGAAAATACCTAAGCATTGGCCCAACTATAAACCACCAAAGGAACAATTTAGCTTTAACTCTAATACTGCAAAACAGAGTAATATGAGAGCCCATTTGGGAAACCCGAAAGGGGGGGAGAGATAAAAGCAAGCTTATCTTTGCAGGCTGGCAACTGTTTCCCTAGTCATGGAAAAAAAATCAAAGGGCAAAGTAACAACAAAGCTCTGACAGCACACACTCAAATAACAGAGCCTCCTATTCTAACCTTGAGCTAACAATCTAATGTGCCTAAAAACCCTTTTCACTGAGTATACAATCACCTTTTAAAGCACAGCAAACAGAGCAGGGCATGATGGTACACATCTATAATCACAGCATTCAGGCAACAGAAGCAGCAGAATTCAAGGCCAGCCTGACCTATAGGGTGAAATGCTGTCTCAAAACATCCAAACAATGGTTCAGTGGTTTTAAGAGCACCCATAGCTCCCAACTTCCTTTAATTCTAGCTCCAGGTCATCTGACATCCTCCTCTTCCTCCATCCAAGCACTGGCACTCACCTGCATGCATACACATGTTAACTCAAAGAAATAAAGGGTTTTCCATTAGGTATGTAGCTTACTCACAGAGTGCTTGCTTAGCATGCAGGATGCCATTGGTGGTCTATACCACTAAAACTGAATAAATGGACTGGAGAGATGAATGGCTCAGTGGTTAAGAATACTAGCTCTTCTTTCAGGGGTCTGGGTTCCAGTCCTAGTCCCCATAAGACAGACAATTGCTAATAATGCTAGTTCCAGAGATCGGATGCCCTCTTCTGGTTTCCATGGGCACTGCATGCACATAGTGCATAAACATACAGGCACCTAGTGCATAGAGAAACATGCAGGAAAAACATTCATTCACATAATACTTTTTCCCTCTTCTTTTCTGGTTTTTCAAGACAGAGTTCCTCTGTGTGAGGTCCTGGAACTTACTTTGTAGACCAGATTGGCCTCAAACTCAGAGATCCACTTGCCTCTGCCTCCCTAGTACTGGGATTAAAGGAGTATGCCACCAATGCCTGGTTCACATGACAATTTAAATAAAAAATAAAATGCAGCTGGTGAGAAGGTTGAGCAGACAATGTGCTTATTTTATAAGCATGAAGACTCAGGTTCCATTCTTAGTCAAAAAGTGGTGAGGAGGCACCCCTCCATTTTGGGGGGGGGGTTCAAGACAGGGTTTCTGTGGCTTTGGCGACTGTCCTGGAACTAGCTCTTGTAGACTAGGCTGGTCTCGAACTCAGAGATTCGCCTGCCCTTGCCTCCTGAGTGTTGGGATTAAAGGTGTGTGCCACCAATGCCCGGCCTCCTCCATTCTTTTAAAGAAGTTTTTCCTAAAGAATTGTGTAATATACACAACAACAAAAACCCAACAAAATTATTTTCCACCCACAGTACAAAACTGATTTCACCTCTGAAACTTCCTATGCATATATATTGGTTATCAAATGACTCAGTAACAAATATCTATTTGAAAACGGACAGTGGAAATTTTGAAAATTGTACCACTGTACTGTGTTCTATAACAAATTCAGCCTTTTACCTAGAAAGGTTCTAACAGAACTTCATCCTATAACTTGTCTTAAAGTCCTTCAAATAAGGCCCTAGTGCATACTTTTGATCCCAGAAACTGGGTGGCAGAAGCAGGGGCATCTCATTCCAAATTCAAGGTCAGCAAGGTCTACATTGTAGACTCTATAGGATAGCCAGGTATCTATCTCAAAAACTGGGGGAAGAGCAAAGATTGTAGGGAGAGAAAGAGAACTGGCCTCAACAGGCCATGTCTAAAACCAAGTCTGAAACAAGTGAGGACGAGACTGACTGGAGGTGTAACTCACAGCTGTTCATCTAGTATCCTCAAGACCCTGAGTTCCGGGGGGATGGACAGGGAAGTCAAAATGAGCACAGTCAAAGGCCGAGACTTTCCATAGTTCAACACTTTACTCCTGAGCTGCGGGGTGGAACCCAGGGCCTTGTGCATCCTGGGCAAATACTCCTAATGGGCTGTAATACCACACGTCCACACGTTTTTGTTCTGTTTTCAGACAGACACTCAGGTCACCTGGGCAAATCTTGAACTTGCTATGTAGCCAAAACCGGAGAACTCAACCTCCCAAATGCTGCAATCACAGACACGAACCAGTAACCAATGGTGTTTTACTTCTCCCTAAGATAAAACACCTGGAATTTCCTTCAGTAACAAAGTAGCCAATACTTAGCAAATGCTCTATCAACAAGTGTTTAAGTAAGTTCATTCCCCCAGAATCCTAAAGCTTGCAGTTTTACAAATGATTGCAGATGAAAATTCAGCGATATAAAATGCTGGTCTTAGAACCAAAATGTTTCTCCACACCGCCCTCAAGTAATCAGTACGAACAGAGTTCCACAGGGACGTTTTCCTCCCAGAAAACGTTTTCTTTGGCCAGGGAAGATCCGCCATATGATGTGTTGCTAGGGATCCAATCCAGTTAGTGTCAGGTCACCTCTCTATCACTTTACTACGTTCCTAGCCCTCTTTTTATGTTGAGACACGGTCTCCCCAGTTCCCCGCCGATTCAATGGCAACCTTGATTGAAGCTCACTCAAATGGCCTGGTCACACTTGGCAACTTTGGAGCCTTTCGGCTTCAACCTCCTCCCCATAAAGCTAGGACTCACCGGGTCGAGCTAGGAAACTTACGAAACAAAAACAAGCCAAAGTCTCTGAACAGACCCCAAACAGGATTCCGAAAAGGGAATGATGATGTCTGGCTATCCTACTTTCCGAAAGCCTGGTACCCCGAAGAGATGCCTTGACCCGCACGCTTTCTATCTGTGGCTGAGGAGGACCAGGGAGCGAGCCGGGAACGTTTCTCCCCACGGTTACCAAGTGCGCACTAGAGGAAGAAGGGACAGAGAGAGGCGGAAGGACTCCAGTCCAGGAGCCTGGTCCGGGGGCCATTCTGATGGAGGCAGCGAGCACTTCCTGCGGGAGAGGCGGACACCGGGGTGCGGGGGGGCGTCGTCTCGGAACCCTGCCGCAGAGCCCGTGCCGCCACCTTCCCGGTCCCGACGCCGTTTGCGGACGGTACACGTGATGAGCCGCGCGCGTACGCCTCCCGCCCCTAACTTGGCGGGTCTGAGAAACTGAGACGAGGGCACCCCCGCCGCCACGGGTGGTAACGTTGAGGGGCTCGAGCCACACGAGCCTTGTCGCGGCTCCAGCCTCGAGACCCCGGCGGCGAGAGAGTTGCAGCGAGCCTCGCGCGCCCGCGCGCCCTCCCGGCTCCCGGAGTGGAAAGAGCAAGGCCACAGGCCTAAGGCCTCGACGACGCGCCCGGCCCGCGCGGACCGGGACACTGGGGCGGCGGGGGCGACCCGGGAGGCTCTCCCGGCTTCCTCGCCGTCGTCGCGGCCTCCGCCGCCCCCCGACTCTCGGCGGCGAAAGGGCCTGCGCAGACGCCGGGCCGCCGTGGGGGTGGGGGGAGGGAAAAGGCAGCCAACACACCTAACGGAGCTGCGAAGTAGCCCGGTCCGAGTTAAGAGGACGACGAAACGGCGTTAGGAATACTCACCCCTTCGGGCCTGGAGCTCCGTTGCCGCTCGGCACGCAGGGCGCGCCGCTCTCCTCCTCCATTTTGGGCTCTGTCGCTGCCACTTCGGCCGCCGCTTCGACCCCTGCCGCCATTTTCTCCGCGTCTGGGCTTTGTGTGAGGGAGCGAACTGTGCCGAGCTGCGCCTGCGCACTCACGTGACCCTGCGCGACCAGTAACGCCTGCGTGTGCGGCGACCGGCTCCCGCTTCCTGCTCGCCGCGGGTCACGCCCCCCTGGCTATAAAGTCACGCCCCCTGGCTATCAGGCCCCGCCCCCCGGCGCCAGCGGGTACTGCTCAGGAGTGTGCGTGTGGACAGGAAAGTATCGCTCCCTTTCACACTTGTAATGTGAGCGCACATACTGACCTAGTCACTCCAGCTTACTTTCTCCCGCCCCCATCTGTTTTTATTAATTTTTCTTTTTTCTTTTTTGGGACAGTGTCTCACTATGTCGCCCTGGCTGCCTGGAAGATCCTCCCTCCTACCTACTAAGTGCAGGAATTAAAGGTATACACCACCACGCACCACGTCTGGCTATTTATTTTTTTTAACAACTTGCATATCATGTATTTTGAGTTTGTTTGGGACTGGGCGGGGGGGGGCGCTTTTTGAGACAGGGTTTCTGTGTGTAGTCCTCGCTGTGCTGGAACTCACTCTGTAGACCAGGCTCGCCCCGAACTCAAGATATTCGCCTGCCTCTGCCTCCCAAGTGCTAGAATTAAAGACTTGTGCTACCAACGCATCTTTTTTCTTTTCTTTTTCTTTTTTTTTTTTTTTTTTTTTTTTTTGAGACAGGGTTTCTAGCCAATGCCGGCCTTGAACTCTGTGTAGCAGAATCTGGCCCTGAATGTCTGCTGAGCTACCCACCTCCACATCCTGCGTGCTGGAACGACAGACTAGAGGAACCATGCCCAGTTTGTTGAGTGTTAGCGGTGGAACCCAGGGATTCTACCGGCTTCAGTCCCTGGCCCTATACTGTATTTTCATCATATTCACCTTCAGTTTCCATCCCTCTCCACTGAACCTTCTTTCCGACAAGGTTCCCACTTCAGTGTCACTGTTTGTTTTGTGACCTACTGAGTTAGGATTGCTTACATGCACATAGGCATGGGGTTTATTTGCCTGAGCATGGACAACTGAAGACTTGTCCACACCACAGAAGAAAATGGACACCTCCTTCCTCCAGAAACTACCGACAATAGGTCCTCAGGGAGAGGTGATACCTCCCAAGCCTCTCCCCCAACCGTGATGGGATGCTAAGGGGTCCTATCTTATGCAAGTAACCACCCCAGCTATAATTTCATGGGTGGCAACAGCCATGTCATGTCAAGGAGACACCAGCTTTCTTTAAATGGAGACAGGACAGAAAGAAAATGAAAATTCTGTTGGTAGAAATAGTTATTTATGTGTGGGGTGTGTGTGTGTGTGTGTGTGTGTGTCTGAATACAGGCTTGCGAATAGGAGTTATTTTCCTCTTTCCGTAAGTAGGTAGGTTCTGGGAATCAAATGCAGGTTGTCAGGGTTATCTTTACCCACTGAGCCACAGAGCCAGTCCTGTGTGCAGAATTCTTGCTAGGCTAACAGCAAACTAAAACTTTCCATGCAATTCTAAGTGTTAGAAAAGATGTACACTAGAAATCTCCCTCCCACCCTTCCCCTGTCTCCCCTTTCTTCCCCTTCCTCTACTTGAACCCACCACCTGGGGCACCCTCACACCATCTCCAGAGGCCCTATATTCTAAAGGTAGGATAAGGAGAGGTATGTGCCCAGCTAGGTAGGCCAGGAGAGCAAATGTGCCTGCGTGTGATTAAGTTCCCATAGGTATGAGTTCACCTGTCATCTGTTGCCTGATCATCTCAGCTTTACTCCTAATAATCATACCGTTTCAGCCATGAAGTCTCCCAGCCTGCTCATACTACAGGCCAAACAGATTCCAGTCTCTGAATTTTAGGAAGCCAACTAAACGAAGAAAAGAGGACAAGGAGAGACAAAAGCTGTTCCTACCATTATCACATTCTCCATCTTTCTAGAGTCGGCTTGTGGGTGGAGTACAAAGCTTAATACTGGGGCACCTGGGATGCCCAGTTCCTAAAGCTGCAGAACTTCAGATAAAGGTTTTCATACACTGCCTCTGTCCTCCTATCTTAAAATGGAAGGGATAACTGTTCCTTCCCTAGCGAGATGTGAAACAGGCTCAGAATTTGGGTCTCATCCCCTGTAATCCCAGATTAGTGTGGATAGCATTACCAGGGCCTCAGTATAAGGGATCTGGCTCACTGGAAATACAAAGTAAGTGGAAACTGTCCTTACCTTTTCCCTTTTGGAATAAAGCTAGGACTCCCATACGCTAACCATGTTTCGTGCCATTGAGCTACATTCACAGCCCTGTGTACTCTCAAGTTGGTTTTTTGTTGTTGTTGTTGTTTTTGTGGTTTTGAGAGTTTGTGGTTTGTTTTTTGTTTTTATTGAGATAGTCTCTTTATTTAGGCTGCTCTGGAACTACCTATGTAGACCAGCCTAACCTTGAACTCAGAGAGATCCTACTGTCTGTTTCTTGAGTGCTGGGACTAAAGGAATGTGCCACCACATAAGGCTTGTTTTGTTTTCTTGAGACAGGGTCTCATTATGCAGCCCTGGCCAGTCTGGAACTCACTGTGTACTTCAGACTGCCCTCAAACTCACAGAGATCTGCCTACTTCTGCCTCTGTGTGCTGAAATTAAAGACGTGCACCATCAGAAAAGGCCCTTTGTTATTTATTTTATTTTATGTGTATGGATGTTTTGCCTGCCTTTGTATCTATGAACCATATGTATGTTTGGTGTCATTGGAGGCCAGAAGAGGTTATTGAGCCGGGCGGTGGTGGTGAACGTCTTTAATCCCAGCACTCAGGAGGCAGAGGCAGGCGGATCTCTGTGAGTTCGCCTGGTCTCCAGATCGAGTTCCAGGACAAGCTCCAAAACAATACAGAGAAACCCTGTCTCGAAAAAACAAAACAAAACAAAACAAAAAAAAAGAGGTTGTTGAATCCCCAAAACTGGAGTCACAGATGGCTGTGAGCCATCACATGAGTGCTGAGAATCGAACCCAGGTCTTCTTCAACAGAAGAGCAGCCAGGGCTCTTTACCGCGGAGCCATTTCTGTAGCACATACTCCCCCCACTTTGTTTATATTTTTTCTCATTTTTTTTGAGACAGGGTTTCTCTGTGTAACAGTCCTGGCTGTCCTGGAACTCACTTTGTAGACCAGGCTGGCCTTGAACTCACTGAGATCCACCTGCCTCTGCCTCCTGAGTGCTGGGATTACAGGCATGGGCCATTACCACCCAGCCAACTTTTAAAGTCATTTGTTGGTTAGGATATCACTCCATGGTAGATCATTTGCCTAGAATATGTGAAACTCTGAATTAAATCCTTGGTACCATTAAAAAATATATATAGTATATAAATAATATATGCATACATTATGTATACACACACACACATATATTGCTAGTGAGGTCTCACTGCATAAAACCATGTCTCAAGAAAATAAAATTTTGCATACACACACACACACACACACACACACACACAGGTATATATTGATAGGCATGGTGGTGAGTGCCTTTAGTAATTCCAGCACTCAGAAGACAGAGGCAAAAGGATCCAGGCCAGGCCAGTCAGAGCTACCCAGAGACCCTGTCTCAAAGTGTGTGTGTGTGTTACTAAAACTATATTAAAAACTGTATTTATTTAATGATTCTGGGAATCAAGCCCAGAACTTTGTCCTTGTTATTCAAGTACTCAATCACTGAACGATATCACCGGATATAGTAATTAAAAAAATCATTAAAAATACAATAAAGAAACCTTTTAAAAAACCATTTATTGGGGCCAGGGAGCTGGCTCAGTAGTTAAAAGCACTCGCTGCTCTTCCAGAAGGCAGAGGTTTTGTTCCTAGCACCCAGGTCAGCTCACAACCATCTGTAACTCCATCCAGTTCCTGGGAATCTCTTGCCCTCTTCTGGCTGCCATGAGCACTGCATGCACAAGGTACACTCACATGTACGTGGGGAAAACAAAACACTCATACATAAAAATAAAATCTTAATTAGAAAAAACTCATTCATCAAGGTGGTGGCTCAGTGGGTGAGAGCACTCAGGCAACCCTGAAAAGCTGGTGCTCCCTGGAGCCATATAAGGTGGAAGGAGAGACCCTGCTCTCCTCCCAAGGTTTCTTCTGACCTCCCCAGCAACAACAATACTAAAAACAGGGGGAGCAGCAGGTGGCAATTGAAATCCAAGGGGTCAGCCCACCAGGAGGAGGCTCTCTGATTGGTCGATCTCAGTTAAGGAAGGTCCCAAGACCCCAGAAACTAGCATGCCTTTTGCTTAAGCTGTGCCTTTACATGTTTGCTGCTGCTACCTTCCTCTGGTGTTGGCATGGCGTGAATGGGTGTGGGGAGATTCCCACTGTCTGTAATGTAGTGTGTTTATCTCCCGGAAACATCCCATTCTACAGGGTATTTTTACCTGTGAATTATTATGAAGATGACTCCTCCCTAAGCAGTACTGTCTAATTGATAATGTCAGCTTACACAGTTTTGATGAATAAGAGTACATCCAAGGGAATGTTACATACACAGTTAGGGTCTATGAATTTCATAAGGAGCTGAATACATTGTAGCTCAAGTTAATGACTAAGAGAAACAATTGAGATCCAGGAGCCAAGCTGGCTCGAATACCTTTAATGTTGGTGCTGAAAGAAGCATTCACAGGTTTCAGTGTGCATCGTGAGCTGAAACAAAGCTTTAAAATAACTTCAGGTCAGATCAGTTGTTTTGATTAGCCTTTAGATGGAAAACAACCTAAAGTTCACAACGGCACACAGCTGAGGTAAAAAATACAAATCAGTTAACTGTTCCTAGCTGATGTTATTTTCTTGTTAGGGTTGGTTGATGATCAAAGGTGATGATTAATTCCTTGTACTCATTCCTGCCCACAATCTCCTGATATAAAAAAAAAAAAAACTACTGATGGATGGGAATACACCCTAAAGATATAGAATCTAGAGTACAGCTGACTGATTTTTTTTTTTTCGAGACAGGGTTTCTCTGTGGTTTGGAGATTGTCCTGGAATTAGCTTTTGTAGACCAGGCTGGTCTCAAACTCATGGAGATCTGCCTGCCTCTGCCTCCCAAGTGCTGGAATTAAAGGCATGCTCCACCACCACCTGGTATGCTGACTTTTTTTAAAAGATTTATTCATTTATCACATATACAGTGTTCTGCCTACATGGCAGAAGAGGGCACCAGATTGAATTGTAGATGGTTGTGAGCCACCAAGTGGTTGCTAGGAATTGAACTCAGAACCCCTGGAAGAGCAGTCAGTGCTTTTAACCTCTGAGCCATCTCTCCAGCCCCCCTGTTTGTTTTTGTTTTTTTTTTTAATGTATAAAAAGTTTAGGTTTGTGATTCCTTTAAGATTCCTTTAAGATTAACTTTCAAGATAAATAGTAAAATGATAGATTCATGCCAGGCGTTGGTGGCACAGGCCTTTAATCCCAGCACTCAGGAGGCAGAGGCAGGCTGATCTCCGTGAGTTCGAGGCCAGCCTGGTCAACAAAGCAAGTTCCAGGACAGCCTCCAAAACAATACAGAGAAACCCTGTCTCGAAAACCAAAAAACATTTTTTTTTATTCTTTCTTTGTAAATGCAATATGCACCCTGGCTGTGAAAAAATACTTCCTGTTTGCTCGTTCTGTTAATCTAACAAATTACTTAAATGTAAATGTATATGGGCTATTGGGGTGACTTTGTTTTTGATCATGTAAGGGAGATTAAGAAAAAAACATGTTTTAACCTGTACTCTACAGGAATATAGCAGAACCACTGTGTAGAGTAGATATTAGAATGAACAGCTGGTTTTTAATAGTACCTTGACCTTGAAGAATCCTTGTGGAAAACAGTAATTGTTTTGCCAAGGGGGCTTTGCAGCCATCTCCTGACTTTGGTCACAAGATGCCTCGGGCACACCTGAGGATCTTGTATTACTGTGTACTGCACACAATGTACAATGAAAGACCAGACTCATGGGGGCATGTGGTGCTCCCCTTTAGTAAGACATGTAAATTAAGGTTAGGGATCTTGCTATGAGGAGATACTTTGTGTAGCAATCAATAAATATGCTTTTGTATGGTCCAGTCCAGTTCAGTCTGTCAGAAGAGGCTGGACATTCCTGCTGTCACATCGGCCTTAAAATTTCATCTTGAAGTGCCTTGTTCTTCAACCAACAATGAAAGAGCACGGGAAGAATACAGAATAGAGGATAAAGAAGGAAACCATCAAGAGAGAGTTTGAGTGTCTTTTTCCCTAACCCCCTTAGGGAAGTCGTGTAAGTGCCAGCGCAGTAGATTCCTCTGGATCCCTACAATCCTGCAATGGATTCTTCCGATACCAGATGAAGAGGAATATTAAGCTACACGAAGTATACAGGGAAAGGAAGTCATATGATACTTTATTAGGGAGAAGTCACTTACATGAGAAGCCCAGAACCTGAGGTCAGCAATCTGCTGGTCTCCGAACCTCAACTGGAATCTCAAGAGAGAGGTGACCCCTTTTTCCTCACCCTTTATGCCCTGCCTTCTCCCATGTACCTGTGACCACGTCCAAAAGGATGTGGTCAGTGCTATGGGTACGTAAGTTCTCTCCCTATAATTCCCCTTTTAATCTAAAGAAAAGATTTAAACTTGAAACAAAACTAAGTTGTGTCAATATACAAAATGTCTCAAACATATATAAAGCATATATAAATAGAAGATGATAAACAAATTGTCATCTACCTTATCCTATCCTAAGCATATCTATCCCATCTAAACCTTAAATTTACCTGAAAGAGATGCCCAAGTGTGATCACTGCCTTCCAATCCTAAACAATTGAAAACTCTAACAGGTGTAAATTATCCTGCAATATCAACGGTGATTCCTTTGGAGCCCTGCAGTCCTGCAGTGAATTCCTTTGGAGCCTTTTGTGCTGCTGGAGGCTGCCCCCCCCCAGACAGCAATAATTCCCTTTTCCTGTTCTTTGTTTTTTCGTCCTGTATACACATGTACATGCAGAGGTCAGAGTTAATGCTAGTGTCTTCACTGATCTTCTCCACCTTACCCATTGAGGCAAAGTCTCTCAATTGAACTCAGAGCTTTGCCCATATGACTAGTTTAGCTATCGAGCTTGCTCTGGGGTCTCCTGAGTGCTGGGCTAGCATCACTAGGGACACACACACACACACACACCCCAAATCTACATAGGTCACAGAGATGGGAAGTCTGGTCTTCATGCTTGTATAGCAAGACGTCTCCCCAGGCCCTGCATCCTGTTTATTTAAAACTCTGACTTTACTTCTTCCTTCTGTGGGCTTCTGTGATGGTTAGCATTAACTGTCAATTTAACAGAATCAAGAGTCCCTGCTGAAATGAACCTCTGGGCATGACTGTGGGGAATCATCTTGATTGTACTGATTGATGTAGAAAGACCCATCTTAACAGTGTCTTGATTTCCCCACCATGAGGGCCTGTACCAGGAGCAGTGAGCCAAAATAAATGCTCTCTCCCTTAAGTCGCCTTTTCTTAAAATTTATTTTATGGGTATTTTGCCTGAATGTATATACGTGCACCATATGTGAACAGTGTCAGTGGGAGACCAAAAGAGAGTAATGGATCTCCTGGAACTGGCATTAGGGACAATAGCAAGCTGGGAATCCAACACAGTCCTTTCCAAGAGTGGCCAGTGTTCTTAATACTGAGCCATCTCTGCATCTCCACTTAAGTTGCTTTTATCTGAGTACTTTATCATAGAAATAAGAAAAGAAACTAAGACAGCTTCATAACAGATTCCCTCAAAACAAGTCAAGCATTTTATACCTTTTGTCCCCACAGAATCACTCACTTGGAGCAGCTTAGAAATGTAATTGATGAGTCCATGTTAGCCAGCAAAGGGCTCCTTTTATTCATTCAGGGATGGGTTTTTGAAATGCAGTGCAACTTTATAAAGTCAAGAGTGCCAATAAAGCAAGCCGGCCAGGTGCAGAGTAGTGCAAGAAGCTTGCTGGAACCTTCTAGCCCAACGGGCACCCTGATGCAAGCAGCCAAAGCTGCTGGCCAAGGAAGTGTCAAACGGATCTCAGAATGAGACAAGGGTGCCTGCTCCATCCAAAGCTAGGGTTTGTCCATGTGTCCTTGTCGTGTACAACAATGTGTAAAACAAAACCCTTGAGAACATGTTCACGCAGGAGCACATAGCAGGCTCCGCTTGCTGTGCCTCTTGGCCTGAGAAGCGTCGCGGCTGCGCATGAAAGGTCAGGCAGTTTCCATCCTTCCACACAGGGCACTGTCATCTGCCGCTGGCCTTCCACTACCTCAGGGCCCCACCATCCGGGGCTTCACACAGGGGTCTCCTCTGCCACCTTTTTTAGGAGTCCAGCGGCCAGCAGGGAGTGGTGGGGGTCCTCGGAGCCATCTGCTTCCCGAATCTTCAGGCGGACTTTCTGATTGGTCTTCCTCCATTCTGAGTACAGCTGGCAGTGGTATCGGAAAGAGACCTGCGGGGGCAGTCCTGCAGTGGGTGGGAAGGTAGAGACAGGCCTCCACCCTGGGGGAGCACAAGGGGCCCTGGCATGTGCCATAGGCCACATCTAGAAGCAGCACCACATCTGGGCATTTCCTGTAGACTGTGCACACCCATCCATTTGGTCCTCTGAGGATACCCTGACAAGCTTTGAGTCCTGTAAAAGTGAAGGATCCACCACCTTGACCCCAGCAGGGAGCTAAGCTCTTCCCTTCTACAGCTGATGAGAATGGAGTCCTACCAGTCTCTTGGGATTATTAACCCCAAGCAAGTACACAATTGTCCAACCTAGAAGCAATCTGTCCCTTCATGGGTAAGAGGATAAAAATGATGGTATGTTTAAGGGACTGGGAAGATGGCTCAGTGCGTAAGAGTACTTGACCTGAGTTCAAATCCTCAGCATCAAGGTAAAAAGCTGAGCATGATCCTGTGTCCTAACTGTTACTCCAAAACTAGGAAGGGGAGGAGGTAGAGACAAGAAAATTGCTAAGACTCATTGGCATTCACATATGCACACACAAATATACCCACATATACACACTCAAATACAGACACACATACATAATTAGACACTCACACATGCACACACATAAAGATACACACTCAAGCATAAAGGCATAAACTCAGACACACACACACACACACACACATACACACACACACACACACACACAGACACACACGCGGCACTAAAAGAAGTGAGAAATGGAGCTCCAGCTCAGTGGTAAAGTGCTTGTCAAGCATGTGAGAGGCACTGGATTCCAATCCGAGTACCATTTTAAAAAGAGTCCAACTGTGCATGAATGTGATCCCATTTGCTCAGAAGACTAAAAGAGGACAATCACAAGTCTAAGGTCTGTCAGGACTACAGAGTGAGTTCAAGGCCTGTCTGGGCAACTTATCGAGACACTGTATCAAAATAATGACATAAAAAAGTGGCTGGGGATGTAGCTCAGTAGTGGCAGCTTGCTTAGTATGTGAGAGGTCTGGGTTCAATCCTCAATATGGAGCAACAACAAAAGGAAGTCCTCAAGCCATGATGCAGCATAAAAACAAATTCAAATAACCAACTCAAAGAGGCCAATTTGAAGTGGCTACGTGCGGTATGACTCCAAGTACATGACACTCCAGAAGAGGAAAAGCTATGGAGACAGTAAAAAGATGGGTGGTTTCCAGGGGAGGGACAAATGGGCGGGAACAGAGGAGCAATTGAAAGATGTACATTTGTGTTTGGGGATGTGGCATAGTCGGGAAAGTGTTTGCGTAGCACTCACAAGGTCCGGGGTGCCACCACAGCACCACATAAAGCAGATGTAGTGGTACACATGTGACATCCCAGTAGTTAGGAAGCAGAGCTGTGAGGAGCAGGAGTTCAAGGTCATCCTGGCCACCTAAGACTCTGACTGAGGAAATGGTTCAGTTGATAAAGCCATACTGTATAAATGTGAGGATCTGACTTCAAACTCCAATGCCTGCATAAAAACTGGACAGCCTGGGATGTATGTGTAACACCAGTACTGGGGGGTCAGAGACAGGCAGATTTCTGGAGACCTTTGGCCAGTCAGTCTAGCCAAACCAATCAGCCCAAGAACAGTGAGAGACTCTGTCTCAAATAAAAGACTGACCAGATGGCTCAGTGGGTAAAGGCCACTGTGATGGCTTGGCAGAAAATGGCTACCAAAGGGAGTGGCACTATTAGCAGGTGTGGTCGTGTTGGAGAAAGTGTGTCACTGAGGAGGTGGACTCTGAGGTCTCATTATGCTCAAGATACTGCTCAGTGTCCCAGACCACTTCTTGCTGCCTATGAGTCAAGATGTAGAAATCTCAGCTCCTTCTCCAGCACCGTGTCTGCCTTGCTTCTCACCATGATAATGGACTAAAGCTCTGAAACTGTGAGCCACCAATTAAATGTTTTCCTGTAGAGGAGCTGCGGTGGTCATAGTTGTCTCTGCACAGCAATAGAAACCCTAACTGAAACAAGCCGTAAAGCCTGACAACCCGAGTCTGACAGTCAGAACCTATACAGTGTAGAAGGGGAGCACCAACACTGATATGCTGTCATGTAATCTACACATGCGCGCCCATGCATGCACGCACGCGCACACACACACACACACACATAAATGTAATTTTAAAATTATTTTTAAAACACGGGCATCAGGCCAGGTGGTGGCAGTGCACACCTTTAATCCCAGCACTTGGAAGGTAAAGGCAGGTGACTCTCTGTGAGTTCCAGGCCACACTGGTCTACATATCAAGTTCCAGGCCTGCAGGGGCCACATTTCAAAAAAAAAGTGGATGAGCTGAAGAGATGGTTCAGAGGATAAAGGCTCTTGATCCCACTTGATGACTCAAGTTCAACTCCCAGAGCCCTTATGGTGGAAGAGCAGACTCCTTCAAGCTGTCCTCTACGACTCCACGTACATGCCATGGCACATGTGCTCACACACACAACAAAATAAATGAATGTAATGAACAACTTGACAAGTAAGATGGACAGTGACTGAGAAAGACACCCAATATTGGCCCCCACATCTATGTGCGTGTGTGCACTTCTGCACACACATACTTATGAATACATAAAATACTCTGTGGGTGCTTGCAACTAACTCCATGGTAACGCACTTGCTTAGAATACTCAAGCCTCCAGGTTCTATCTCCAGTACCACAGGAAGAAAAGAGAAATAAGGAAGGGAGGGAAGGAGGGAACAAGGAAGAGAAAGAACTTCATTGGTAGTGAAATTGCCAAAAGTCCCAGAGTGAGTCAAAGGGACTGATTAAATAAATATGGCATACCAACACAATGAACGGGTGGTTTGGGTGGCCGCCCCCTTTTCTTTTTAAAAGATACTATCAAAGGATAAAACAAGCAGGTATAAAACAGTACACATGTTTTTATTCTATTAATATATTTTAAAATCTATCCCTTATGACAGGAATGCATCCTGAGAACTGCATCACACCTTGCTATGCAAACCCTGGCAGTGCTTAAGATGCCTTTAATACCACTAAACCATGTGAGTGTGGTAGCTCGTGTCTCTAATCCCAGCACTCGGGAGGCTGAACAGCACTACTACAAAGAGTTCAAGACCAGCCGGGGCTGAGATCCTGTCTTATAAAAGAGCATATCAGAGATTGGGATAAGGCTCAGTTGTGACAGCACTTACCTAAGTGTGTGTTAGTACACCCCTGTCACCCATGTACTGGGAAGGTGAGAGAATTGTGAAGATCAGAAATTCACACAAAACAGAAGTTCAAAGCCATCATCAGCTACCTACTGAGTTCAAAGCCAGTATGGGCTATCTGAGAGAGACCCTCTTTAAAAAGTCAGTGTCGCTGGGCGTTGGTGGCGCACGCCTTTAATCCCAGCACTCGGGAGGCAGAGGCGGGCGGATCTCTGTGAGTTCGAGACCAGCCTGGTCTACAGAGCGAGTTCCAGGACAGCCTCCAAAGCCACAGAGAAACCCTGTCTCAAAAAACCAAAAAAAAATAAATAAATAAAAAAATAAAAAAAATAAAAAGTCAGTGTCTCTCTGTCTCTCTCTCTCTCTGTGTCTCTCTCTCTCTCTCTCTCTCTCTTCCTCTTTCTGTGTTGCTACCTTGAAACCACGGGTCTCTCCCATTCTAAATATGAACTCTACCACCGATCTGGGAACAATTCTTGACATGAAGAATGGCTCATAGCTGGACAACAGGAGAGTGCAAAGACTTCCTCTGTGATCAAAGATGTCACTGCTGGTTTTAGTGGCAACCCCTACTTTATTTTATCATTTTCTGTCTTAGTAATAGTCTAAGTGTTCTCTATGTCACCCCTCACTTTACATTCTCTTCTATTCTTCCTTCTAGCTTTAAATGTATTCTTATTACATTTTATCGTGTGTGTATGTGCACATATGTACATGCACTCCCTCCCACATATAGAGATCAGAGGATAACTTGTAGGAATCAGCTCTCCCTCTCCACCGTGTGGGTCCTGGGGACTGAACTCATCTTGTCAGACTTGAAGGCAATTGCTTTCACCCACCAGGCCGTTAACTCACACCTATTTTTTTAGTTTAATTTTTTCACTGACATAGAAACCAGTACATTTTATAGGGTACCCTTTCTACACTCATTTTCTGTTTATTTCCTGAGCTAGGGATAGAACTTAGGGCCTAGTACATGCTAGGAAGGTTCCCTACCATGGGGCCATACCCATCCCCTTAAGTTTTCAATCAATATGTTTCATATAATCTTCCCTGGCTTATTTTGTCTTATTGGTCTCATGTAGTCAGGTTGACTGACCTCCAACTATGATTCTCCTGCCTCCACCTCAGGTGTTTGTGAACACACCCGGTGTATGCGGTGCTAGGGACTAGAACCCAAAGCTCCGTGCATGCTAGGCAGGCACTGTGCCAACTGAGCCACACCCCAGCCCTTTATCTGGGTTCCAATCCCTCATTCTCTGCTCAGTTTCTGTAGATGGGACTGTCCCGTGTTGCCTGCCTCCGCCTCCCGAGTGCTGGGATCAAAGGCGTGTGCCACCACTGCCTGTTGCCCTCAACTTTCTCTCCTTCCCTCCCTCCCTCCTCTTCTCTCCCTCTCTGTTCCTTCTTCCTTCCCTTCTTCTCTTCCTCCTTTCCTTCCCTTTCTGTTTCAGACTGAGTCTCAAGTAGCTAGCCCAGGCTAGCCATGATCTCACTATGCAGCAAAGGATAACCTTGAGCATCTAGTCCTCCTGACTTGACCTTTCCAAAGCTGTAAAGCAGAGAGAATGGCACTGGGATTCAACATCGGGAAGCACTCCTCTGACTGAGCTACACCCTAGAGAGATTTCCCCTCCCCCTCGCCCTCTCTGTCTGTCTTAATTTCTTTATTGACTAAACTCCTTCACATTCGCATACTTGTCTATGATGCTGATTACCTCACCCTACTCTCTCTGGTCTCCCCACAGCCCCACCAAACCCTTCCTCCCTACAAAGTCTTCCCCACATTCACGTCTTTGTTTTGCTTTGTGACACTGAATTAAAGCAGGGCCATCTGTGCGGCCAAAGGTTCCGGTATACCACAGAGCCTCGTGGGTTCAGTCATGGCCTCACAACTGAAGACCATGTCTCCCCCTTCTCCAGAGTCTATCAGTAACCAACAATTCAGCAGGGGGGGCATATTTTTGGAAGGTTTTTAATCTCTATTTTTGATAATCTACACAATTATTTCTGGGCCAGCGTATGTCACGACACCCTTACGTTAGGACAGGAGGGAGTCAGTCCTCACCTTCTACCACACAGGTCCAGGGAGCCAAGCTTGGGGCCGGCTCCTGAGATCTCGCCTGCCCTCAGCCCCTTGACATCCACCTGCTCCACCTCACTCTTTCAACCTCCTCCCCGCCTCAGCCTCTGCTGCTCCGTCCCCTTCTCTCCTGACCATCCCTGTGCCCTCGGAGCAAAAGGCTCACTGTTGGCTGAGGGTGTCCCTGGACCGGTGCTACACTGCCGACCTGGAGCAATGGCCAGGGTGAGCTGAGGGGACCGCTTCCAGGGGACACGACACTCACTCACAGCCCAGGGGTCCCAGCTGAGCCCACCCACCCGGGCCGCACCCACTCACCAGTGTCCAGAGCACATAGATGGTAAAGAGGGCGATGGTGAGGGCAATGAGCCCCACAGCCTCCAGGCGGCTGTGCAGACGGAGGTGGTCCTGGGCCCCTCGGAGGCATAGCCAGCCTGAGACGGCGGCCAGCGGTGTGATGAGCACAAAGCACACCATGTCACAGCACAGCGTCCGCTTCTCGGTGCGAGGCCCCGGGTCCTTCAGCCACTGCAGGGGAGCGGGGGAGGGAGGGGGGTTATGTGGAGGGGCGCTGCACAAGGCATGGGATGGGGGCAGGCTGCAGGTCTGGAGAGTCACCCTTTTTTAAAAATAATACTGAGTCTGGTGGATGCTTGCCCCCCTTTTACTGATGGGCAAATGGAGGCAACAGGGGAGCTAATCCATTCATGCAAACTCACACAGCTAGAGCAGACTGACTATTCTGTTCTGAAAATCCACAATCCAAAATGTTCTATAACCAGAAACTTCTAAAACACCAGCATGATGAGTAGTGGGGGAGGGTAACCAGAGAGCTGGGCCAGAAGTTAAGAGCACTCCTACTCTTCCAAAGGACTAGAGTTCTGTTCCCACCATCTATGTCAAAGGCTCACAACCAACCACCTGTAACTCCAGGGGATCCCACGCCCTCTACTGGCCTGTGTGGGCACCTGCACACAAGTAAACACACACACACAGACATATAACCTAAAAAAAAAATCCTTCTTTGTTTCTTTGTCTTCAGAGCCAGGGTCTCTCTATGTAGTCCTGGCTGTCCTGGAAACTCGAAATGTAGACCAGGCTGGCCTCAAACTCACGGAAGTCCTCTTGCCTCTGCCTCCTCAGTGCTGGGATTAAAGGGGTAAATCACCATGCCCAGCTTAAAAACAATCTTTAAAATGCCTTCGTGGCACCGCAAGTAGAAATTTCCATACCATGAAACCTGTTTTATACATACATCATCACCGTGATCACCACCGCCAGCACCAACACAGCTACCACCACCATGATGGGCTGTTACTGTTTTCTGAGACAGTGTCTCAGGCAAGCCACATAGGCCTTGAACTTCTGACCTTTCTGCTCCCAAGTGTTGAGAATGTGCTACAATGTCCAGCTCAAACTTATTTAAACTATTGTATCTGGGGATACAATTTAATGGTACAGCACTCGCCTGGCATGAGTGAGGTCTCAGGTTCAATTACTAACACCACCCTAGGAAACAAAGTAGCAAGGGGGTGGAGGGGGTGGCACACACCTGTAATCCCAACACTTGAGTGATGTACGGAGAAGGATCATGAGTTCAAGGTCAGCCTCTGCAAGTCTGAGATCCTCCTAGGCTACACGTGAGACCCTTTCTGAACAGACAGACAGACAGACATATAGAGTGGTGGTTTGAATGAGAACGCCTCATGCATGCATGGAAGAACTCTTAAGGAATTAGGAGATCTGGCCTAGTTGGAGGAGATGTGTCACTGGGGCAGGCTTTCCAAACCCCGCATTAAGAAGTACTTGCCTAGTGTGAGCAAGGCCCTGATTTCCAAACCCAGCAATACAAGAAAACAATTAGCTGAAGTAAAACATTGTATAACCTTACTTTCAGGATGATATATATATATATATATATGAAATATGAGTGGGTTTGCTTTCTATTTGGATCTCAAATACCAAATCCCGAACTCTCAGAATTAAAACCACTCTGGTCCCAAACCTTTTTTTTTAAAGATTTATTTATTATGTATACACTGTTCTGCCTACACACCACAAGAGGGCACCAGATCTCATTATGGATGGTTGTAAACCACCATATATGGGTGCATATGGTTGTTGGGATTTGAACTCAGGATCTCTGGAAGAGCAGCCAGTGCTCTTACCCTCTGAGCTATCTCTCCAGCCCCAAAGCTTTTTTTTTTAAGACAGGATCTCATGTAGAGTAGGCTGAACAAACTCAACAATATATAGACAAAGCTGGTCTTGAATTTCCGAGCCCCATGCCACCACCTCCCGAGTGGGATTCCAGGTGTGTGGCACCATGCAGGGTTTTATGAAGGGCTAAGAATCAGATCCAGGGCTTCATGTATGTCAGGCCACCTCCCAGATGAAACACTGACCCCAGGCCTTGGTGTTATTCAGGCTGGATTGACTCTGTGATCCTTCTGTCTCTGAATCTTTGGCATATCTTCCTGTGTGTGCTACCACAACCAGCGTAAGAATTTAGAATAAGGATTATTCATCCTGTAGCCCACAAACCCAGCCAGGACCAGTGTAGACAGTGCTACTTGGGGGCCCAAGCACCCTTTGTCACTATGTCTTATAACCTCCCAAAGACGGTGGGGCAAGAGAAACAAGTATAGCTCATAAAAAAAAAATTCAGGGAAGGCAGGAGACAGGGGCCTGTTCTCCTGTGCCAGTGAGGGACAAATGGCACAGGGAAAGTTGGGGGCAAGCAAGATGGCTTGGTAGGTAAAGCACTTGTCACACAAGACTGAAGCCCTGCGTTCAATCCCAGGGCCCACATAAAGGAAGGAGAGAGGTCATCCTCCACATGTGCACTGTGCCATTCCTGTGTGCACGTCCCCACTCTGACATGCGCACACACAGAGTAAAGTAAATTTTAAAAATGGGGAGGATGACCAGGGAGATAAAGGCCTTGCGAATGGGCAGAAGGGTTGGGAGGCAGACAGCACTGCAGACACAGGAACGTCAGACACAAAGGCCCTATGGTAGGCCGTTTAAACCGGCATGCCGAGCTGAGTCAAAGGTAGGAGACGGTGTGTGCAGACATTGGTCCCTCTCGCTGTTTCCTTGGAGCCCAGCTTCCAGTGGGCTGGAGGCTTTACTTAGGTCTCCCAAGTGACCTATCTATGGTGGCCTTGACTGATCTAGGCAGTACTTCCTGGTCTCAGGATTTTATACTGCTTCTCACACTTCAGCCTAGTGATATCTACTCTGGAGTTCTAAGCCATTGTTCGATAGGGTGATATCAATAAAACAGCAAGTGCCTGGAGACATCCAATCACAATCCCAACTGTCATGCTCAGACCAAAGTCCAAGTGTCTGTGTGCTGCACAAAGCCAGGTGTCACCACTGTCATCTCTCTTGAAGCCACTCTTTTCCTCCTCCCTATTTTTTTCTTCTGTGTACATGTGTACATGTGTGTGCATGTGTGCACACATATAGGGGTGCAATGTGTCTGTGTGAGAGTGTGTACTGTGTGTGCATGTGTGTGTGGGCACACACAACATGTAGAGGATGATGTCAAGCATTATCCTCAATCTGTCCTCCACCTTATTCACTGAGGCAGGTTCTCTCAATCAAACTCTGAGCTCATGGATCCCAAGGCTACAATTACAAGCAGCTGCCACACCCACCTGACATTAACATGCATTCCAGGGGGCCTGAACTCCCCACCATCATGCTTCCTAGGCAAGCACTTTAACCACTGAGCATTTTTGCTTTTTTTTTGCCCAAACAAAATATCTCAGATTTTGTTGACATATCCCCAAGAATAGTGTAATAGTCTCATGTAGCCCAGATTGGTTTCAAACCCCCTATGCAGTCAAGGATGACCTCCCACTTCTAATCCCCATGCCTCTACCTCTCAAGTGCTGGAATTCTTACAGGATTCTACAGATTGAACTCAGGGCCTCATGTATGCTAAGTGAGCATTCCACCAAGCGATACAGCCCCACCCTTATTCTTAGCTTGACCTCCTACTGCTCCTGGCCTTTGTAAGTGCTGTGTTCTCTGCCAGGACTACCTTCTTCCTAGGCTCTCTGAACTCCTGTTTTAATCCCTCAGCTCTCAACTTGGGGGTTCACCTCCAGTCAAGGCCTCTCCCTCACCTGCACACTCTCAGTCTGTGTGTTTGTGGGTTCGTTCATGAATCCAGGAATGCATGTTTGAGATACCGTCTCCCTGATGCTTTCCCCTTGTATACACCAGGCTGGCTGACCAGTGAGTACCCAGGGATTCTATCTCCACCTCCCATCTTGTCTTAGGAGCACTGGGATTACAGAAATGAGCTTCACACCTGGCTTTATGTGGGTTCTGGGGATTTGAACTCAGGCCTTGTGCTTGTATGGTAAGCACTTTATACATTGGGCTATCTCCCACCCCCTAAGACTGCTCTTCACCCCCAAATGTTGCTCTGCACACACCCCACTCCTTCAACAGGCCCCTTTGTGATGTTTGGTGCCAATGGTCAGACTGACAGAATCTGGAATCCCGGGATGGGAGTCTCAAGGACCGACCGTACAGGGCAGGGTGGCCTGTGGGCCTGCCTGCATTAACTGAGGTGAGAAGACTCACTGTGAGTCCCGGTGGCACCGTCACACAGGCTGGCCTGGACAGTGAAAGGAGAGTCATGTGTGGCTTGTTTTCCACTTCTGCACTATGGTACCATGTCGCCAGCTATCTTGTTTGAGACAGAGTCCTACCACTAGACTTCACTGCAGTGACGGAGTGGGACCCGGAACTGTGAGTCGTTACAACGCCATTCCTGCTTAGCTGCTTTTGTTGGGGTATTTTATCACAGCAAACAGGACAGGAACTAAGACACCCTCTTAACTGTTCCTACGACTGGCCTGTTTGGAGATCATGTGGGCATTATCAACATGGGCTGGTGACTGGGCAGGCCTAGCACCTGACAAAACACTGGGCATACCAGAGGTGTTCAGAGAAATACTTGGTGATCTGAGTTTCATGGCACATGCCTGTAACCCTGGTACCCAGAGGAGGCTGAGACAGGAGGATTCTAAGCTTTGGGCCAGCTGGGGCTATAATAGGTAGGTAGATATTTGACAGATTGATGAATAGATGGATAGATAGATACATAGAAAGATAGATAGTAGATACATGATAGAAAGACATACAGACGATAGACGGATGGATGGATGGATGGAGAGAGAGACCTGGTGAGTTGGCTCAGCAAGTAAAGGTACTTGCCAAACATGACAAATTGAGATTTATCCCAGGTCCCACATGGGGAAAAGAGATTTGTGCATGTTGTCCTCTGACCTACACACATGTAATTGATTTTTATAACATTTTTAAGGGGCTGGAGAGATGGCTCAGCAGTTAAGAGCATTGACTGCTCTTACAGAGGACCACGGTTCAATTCCCAGCACCCACATGGCAGCTTACAACTGTCTATAACTCCAGTCCCAGGGGACCTGACACCAATGGCAAAACACCAATGCACATAAAATATATATATATATATAATATACATATATACATACATACATATAATTCTAAGAAGAAAATAAGCTGGGCAGTGGTAGCACATGTCTTTAATTCCAGCACTTGGGAGGCAGAGGCAGGTGATCTCTGAGTCCAGCTTCATCTACAGATCGAGTTCCAGGACAGCCAGAGCTACTCAAAGAAACCCTGTCTCAACTCCTCCTCCTAGAAGAAGAAAATAATAGCATGGTATGGTGGTGCACACCTTTAATTCCAGCCCTTGGGAAGCAGAGGCAGGCAGATCTTCATAGATCAGCCTGGTCTTCATAGAGAGTGCTAGGTCAGTTCTAGGGCTACTTCGAGAGACCATGCCTCAAAAATTCCCCTCAACAACTGTACGGTAGCTGAAGCAAGAAGATAACAGTTCGAGGACAGCCTGGTCTACATAGCAAGTTACAGGCTATTCAGGACTACAAAATGCAACCTTGTTTTAAAGTAAATAAATAAAAGCAAACAAATAAGAAACCTGGGTGTGGTGGTACACCTTTTACTCCCAGGATATGGAAGGTGGAGGCTGGAGAATCAGGAGTTTACAGTCAGTCTGTTATATAACAGCTGTAGGCCTGCCTGGGCTGCATGAGACTGTGTCTCAAAATAATAAAAAAAGAACTAATAATAACAGCCTTAGGGTTCATGCTTTGTTATATTGGCAGTCAAGTGACTGAAGCAGGAGGATTGCCTGAGTTCCAGATCTCCCTGAGCTAAAATGACAGTCTATTTCAAACAAACAAAAAATATCCCTGCATGGTATATATTTGTAATCCCAATAACTCAGGAAACAGAGGCAGGAGGATAGTAGCAAAGTCAAGTACTATTAAAAGGGGTGGGGGGCTGGGGTTGTGGCTCAGTTGCTAGAGGGCTGCCCTAGCATGAATGAAGCCCTGGGTTCCACTGCTAGCGCTGCATGAACTGGAGGTTATACCGGCTGCCTAGAATCCCAGCACCGGGGAAGCAGAGGCTGGATGACCAGGAGCTGAAAGCTGTCTTCAGCTAAAAGCTACTTCAAGGACAGGTTAGGACACCTGAGACCCTGATTTAAAAAAAACAAGCAAAACAACAGAGAGGACAGAGAAAGACAGGGAGGGAGAGAGAGAGAGGGAGGAAGGGAAGGAAAGAGGGAGGGAGGGAGCATGACAGGGTGAGGTTTGCGGACCTTCAGTCTCTGGTCAGTCAGAGCACACACAGCAGATTCCTCCCAGCACTGGCAGGGACATAATCAGCATCCCCAGGTAACCTGAGCAGCTGCTACCTCTGTCCCTAAACTGCCCTTCTTCCTTTCTGGATGCCCAGTCTTCCCCCCAGCAATGCACCTCTGTGAGAGGTCGGGGCCGCTTTTCAACTGCAAACTCGGTGTGGCACAGCTCGCAGTAGCTGGTGTTGGAGGAGGACAGCCATTTCTCCAGGCAGCTCTTGTGCACAGCTCCCAGCGTGCCAGTGCAGCCACATGGGGACAGCAAGCTCTCCCCATTCGCTCCTTCGTGGCAGATTCGGCAGAAGGGACAGTCACTGGAAAGATACAGAGAAAAGACTGGGGAATGAGAGACGGCAGGGCTTCTTGCTTATGCCGGCATCATTGCAAGCTCACTGTACCCCCAGGGTTGCTGTTCCGTAAACTCCTGCTCATCTTTCAGCAACCCAGCTCTAGATGTCCTCTTCTCTGGTAGTTTTTTCAAACTCCCATTGGTAGGGTCATGTGTTCCCTCCCCAGAGCCATTGTGGGCCCTTCTTAGCATAGAGTGAGCATCCTGTCCACCTGCCTGCCTAATGCTCTCCTTTTGATGAAATAAAAATATCCTGAAATAGCAATATCCTGATATTCCTAACTATCCACTCTGGTGATCCTTCTGATGGTTTATACTGTCAGCCTGACAGGATGGAGACAAATCTCTGGGCATGTCTGTGACAGATTTTCCAAATTAGGGTAACAGAAGTGAGAAGACCCATTGGAAACATGGACTGAGCATAAAGGAGCAAGCAGGGACACAGATGGCTCAGGGGATAACGGTGCCTGCTGGTAAATCTGATGCCCTGAGCTCAATCCCTGGAACCCACATGCTGGAAGAAGAGACTCGACTATGCCCACACATATGTCATGGGATGCACACAGGAGTGTGCGCACCCACACATACACACTAATAGGTGACTAAAGAAAAAAGCATATTGAACACGAGCATTCATCTCTCTAACCTAAACTGCCTCATCACGGGTGCAATGTGACCAACCACCTCAGATGCCTGTGCTGCTGTGACTTGCCAGCCGTGATGGACAGCAGCTTGGAATTATGACTCAAAACAAACCTTTCCTTCCCTAGCTGCTTTTGTCAGGTGCTTTGTCACAGCAGCAAGACAGATAACTAATATGGTCCTCAAGGACTATAATACACACACAATCACACACAGAATTACACACATACACACTAGCGCACATCATACACACAATTACATACATACAGTAACACACACCACAGACACAATCACACACACATACATACTAACACACATCACACACAGAATTACACACATACACACTAGCGCACATCATACACACAATTACATACATACAGTAACACACATCACAGACACAATCGCACACACATATATTAGTACACATATGATTACACACCACACACACAAGATTTTTGAAAAAAACAGTATTAAAATTCCTGGCTCTAACTATACCTAGAGGTCACATTGCCTGACAAATCTGTGCATATGAGAAAAATCTCTCATTTATTTTTCTGTGCATGGCTGAGGAAGACAGGGGGTGGGATGGGCAAACAGGCATAGAAACCATCCATAGCAGCTGCTGTGGTGAGTCTCTAAACAGCAGCCCAGTCTCTGGGGAAGTTGAGTTCTTCCTGGGCCAGCTCCAGAAGGAAGGAGGTGTGGCTTCAGTAGACCCAATGGCTATCCAATACATGAGTCATTGTTTTCTAAACATTTCTGCCCAGAAAGCATATTGTCACGAACACACACACACACACACACACACACACACACACACACACAGACATGGAGGGGGAGCAGGAGAGGCAGTCAGGCAGGCAGGCAGGCAGGCAGGCAGGGAGGGAGGGAGAGAGAGAGAGAGAGAGAGAGAGAGAGAGAGAGAGAGAGAGAGAGAGAGAGAGAGAGAGAGAGAGAGAGAGAGAGAGAGAGAGAGTTTTCTGGTGGTGTGGTAGAAGTCTGTCTACTTTGAAACAAACCCACAGAGGACAGGGCTGTAGCTCAGCTGGTAGAGTGCTTGCTTAGTAGTCAGGAAGCCCCGGGTTCCATCTCCACCACCAGAACGGCCTAAAACAGGCATGTCTGTGAACCCAGAACTTTGGAGGTAGAGACAGGAGGATCAGGAGTTCAAGGTCGGAAATCAGCCTGGGCTACATGAGACCTTCTCAAAACCAACATAAATGCCAAACAGCCCGGACCCCAAAAGATAGGGCTCACATCTGTCCTTTCAGGCCTGTCTCTAAGACGCTCTTTTCTTTTCTAGTACCAAAGGGCCACTGTTGAGACTTCAAGAGACACTCAGTGGGTAAAGGGTTTGTCGTGCAAACCGAAGAACTGGAGTTTTTTGAATCCTCAGCACCCACACAAATACCAAGCCAGGTGTGGTGGCCCATGTGTAATCCCAGCACTTAGAAGATGGAAATGGGGTCCCCAGAACAAGCTGGGTATCTGCTCTAGCAGTCATCCAACTCTGGGTTCAAGTCAGAGACCCTGCCTCACCTGTGTGTGTGTGTGTGTGTGTGTGTGTGTGTGTATGTGTGTGTATGGGTACCTATGAGTTAGACAAGAAAGACACCTGATGTCAGTCTCTCACATCCACAAACACATAACCACACATGTATACACAATTGCACATGTGTGTACCCACACACATGCAAACTCTCTCACTCTCTCTCACTCACACACACACACAAACACACGGGGGGGGGCGCATGCTCACTCCCAGCTCCTTTCTAATTTCACACTCTGAGTCTCACACACACACACACAAAACATAAAAGGTCACAGGAAAGGACTCCCCATTCCGGAAACCAACTCAGGGAAAGGAAGCAGTGAGACTCCTAAGAAACTCAGCTCAGTTTCTTCTGGAAAGCCCTGGAAGCTATGGAACAGCAATTCTGACAAAGGCAGACAGGGTGGGAGTTATTGTTTACTGAGTACTCCCCACGTGTGAGTCACTTCTGGGGGCATGTTGTTTTGTTGTTTATCAGCTATGTGTGTGTACATGCATGCATGCATGTATGTATGTATGTATGTATGTATGTATGTATGTATGTGTATATAGTGTGTGTGTGTGTGTGTGTGTGTGTGAGATGACACATGGGTGGAGGTCAGAGGACAACCTCCTACCTTGTTTGAGGCAGGGTCAGTATTCACATGTGCCAGGCTTGCTCAAGGCTTCTGGGGTTTCACCTGTCCCCGCCTCCGCCTCTCTGCAGCAGTAACGACTTGCAGACACGAGTACCATGCCTGAATTTCTATGTGGATTCTGGGGATTTGAACTCAAGTCCTTATGCTTGTGTAGCAGGCCTTTTACCCACTGAATCATCTTCCCAAGCCTGCTTTTATTTATTTTAAGACATGGTTTCCAGGGCTACATAGAGAAACTCTTTCTTCAAAAACAAAAATCAAAAAACAAAATTCATGGTTACATTATGTAGCCCTGGCTGTCCTGGAACTCACTCTGTAGACCAGGCTGACCTCAAACTCATAGAGATCTGCCTGCCTCTGCCTCTCAAGTGCTGGGATTAAAGACTTATTCCACCCACCCAACTTCAGCCCGTTTTGTTTTCAGGCAGGGTCTCATGCAGACCACACTGGCCTCTAACTTGCCACCACAGCTGAGGGTAACCTTGAATTCCTGGTCCTCTCATGTCTATCTCTCCAGTCCTGGGATGCCTGGCATGTGTCACCATACCTAACTTTGTTTTTATATTTATTTATTTTTATTTATTTAGGGAAAGAGTCTATGTAACCCTGGCTGGCCTGGAACTTGTTACATAGACCAAGCTAGCCTTGAACTCACAGAAACCCATCTGTCTCTGCCTCCAGAGTAAGTGTGCCACCATGCTCACTTGTTTTGATTTTGAAAAAGGGTCTCACTGGCACTCACTACATAACCCAGGCTGGACTCGTGTTCACTGTGTTGCACAAGCCAATCTCAGACTGATGTTTCTCTCCTCTTGGCTGACCACATCTGTGGTCCCTGCACTAGAGGGCAGAGGGAGAAAGAACAGGGGTCAAGGCCAACCAAGCTACATAACAAGCTTGGGGTCAGAATGGGTTATATGGAACCTGTCTTGAGAAAGAAAAAGAAAAGGAAGGAAGGAAAGGGAGGGGGAGGGAAGGGGAAAAGGGAAGTGGAGGAGAAGGGAGGAAATAAAGGCCTGTAAGTTTTAATCTGTGTGTGTGTGTATGAGTGTGTGTGTGTGAGTGCATGTGTGTATGTGTGTGTGAGTGCATGTGTGTATGTAAGTGTGTGTGAGTGCATGTGTGTGTGTGTAACATGAGTTACAGGTGCATGTGCCTGTGCACATGTATGTGCAGGCCAGCGTGCCACATTAGGTGTCTTTTTCTATGGGGTCGCTCACTGAACTGGAAGTCTGCCTTTTCACTAGGCTAGCAGGCTCTCAGGATCTGCCTGCCTCTCCCACCCAACTTGCTGTGGCTGGTTCTCTCTTTCCATATTTATGTGCGCTCCAAGGGTTGAACTCCGGTTGTCAGGCACACATGGCCAGTTAGTTAGTGACACACTGAGCCATCTTGCCAGCCCAGCATGTTCGGCTGCTGATCCTTTCAGTTACCGTGGGCTCCTGAGAACACACCTTCATTATGGACACATTCTCAGGACATACAGCATATTCTCAGAATAATCTGACCAGGAAGGTGTAGCTACGTTAGAGATTTGGTCTAATTTATTCCAGGCCACTCAGGGAGAGAAAGGTATCCGCTCAGTCCCTGTTCTCCACACTCCTCACTCCCTGCACTGCTTCTGCAAAGCCCAAGGTCACTGATGCTGTAGAGCCCTACCCCTCGGCATGATAGCTTTCAGCATCTTCATCACAGTAGCTGAAACTATTTTCAAACAACCTTCAAGATCTAGCCTGTTGACTGTTGGCCTTCCCTTCTACAAGAAGGTGGGAGGGTCACTGGACCGTCCCCTGAAGCCCTAGACACCAGCACATGCACCTCTCCCTACTCATTATATTCCATTATTTCCCAGTTACACATGATCTTGTGGTCTAAGAGGTGCCAGACTATACAATACATGGGAGGTTCATGAAAGAGAACTCTATCTATGGTGCTATGGGGAAGTCATCATGCATGCTGGGTGAGATTTTCTGGTGATGCGGCTATTCTGGGGTACCCATGCTCCTGTAAGTAACTGCCCACCCATGTTCTCTAAGGAACCCCAGTAAACTCATGGGGGAGGAAGCAAGCATTTGTTCATATCTCCCCAGGAAAAAGTTCCAGAAACAACTTTCAACACTTGATCTTCCGATTTCCCACAATCACCTGGAGTTTTAGTGCTGAAAGAGAATCCATGGTATTGCCCACACTAGGCAAGCACTCCGTCACTGAGACATATCCCCAATCCCAGTTTGTCCATTTATTAGGAATTTTGAAAAAAAAAAGGCATTGCTATGTAGACCAGGATGGTTTCAAACCCTCTGTAGCCTAGGCTTGCTTTGAACTTTAATTCTCCTGCGTCTGCACGCAAGGACTAGAATTTAAAACGTGTGTGCTTGTGTAAGGTGTACAGATGGGTGCTGGTGAGCATACATGGGTGCGCATGCTGGTGGAAGCCGCAGGTGTCACTCATCAGGAACCGTTTATTAGACAGGGTCTCCCACTGGCCCAGGGGTGTCTACCTTGTTTTTTCAATTATACTTTCTTTGTTCACTTGTTTTGGGTGCGTGAGATGACAGGTGGGTAAGTGTGTGCCAGGCACACGTGTGCAGGTCAGAGGACAGCTTTCAGGAGTTGATTCTCTCCTTCCATCATGTGCTTCCCAGGGGTCTAACGAAGGTGGCTTTTACCCACTGAGCCGTATCACTGGAAGCCACCTTGGTTTTTGAACCAAGGTCTCTCACTGGCTAGGCTACCTGGCCAGCAAGTCCCAGGGATCCACTTCTCTCTGCATCTCCAGTTCTGCAATGATAAATATGTCTCCACACTCAAGTTTTGTGTGTGCATGTGTGTGTGTGTGTGTTCCTATTGTAGAATATTTAACTATGTAAAGATGTATTGCATTTGTTTATGCTATGGGCCATTACTTTAACTGTGTAAAGCTGTGTTACAGTTGTTTTTGCTGAATGTGTTTAATGATGTAAAGATGTGTCGCATTTATTTCATCTTGCCTGCCTAAGGCATCTGATTGGTCTAATAAAGAGCTGAATGGCCAACAGTTAGGCAGGAGAGGGATAGGCAGGACTGGTGGGCAGAGAGCATAAGTAGGAGGAAAAACCTAGGCAAAGGAGAGGGGAAGGAGGAAAGAACAAGGGAAAAAGAGAGGGACTCACTGGGGGTCAGAAACCAGGCAGCCGCCAGCCAGCCAGACACAAGAAGCAAGGAAAGTAAGATCTGCAGAAGGAAAGGAAGGTAAAAGGCCCGAGGCAAAATGTAATGAAGAGAAACAGGGAGTTATAAGAGCTAGTGGGACACGCGTAAGATAAGGCTGAGCAAAACACAACACAACAGAAAAAAACCGGGGCGGCAGTGGCGCATGACTTTAATCCCAGCACTCGGTGGCCCAATAGAAAAGCCTGGTACACATTCCCTCTCTCTCTCTCTCTCTCTCTCTCTCTCTCTCTCTCTCTCTCTCTCTCTCTCTCTCTCTCTCTCTGTGTGTGTGTGTGTGTGTGTGTGTGTGTGTGTGTGTGTGTGTGTGTGTGAGAAGGCCAGAGGTAACAGAGTAAACATCAGGCACTGTTCTTCAGGGGATGCCCACATTGTTTTTTAAAGAATGGTCTCTAGCTGGCCAAGCACTGACCAACTAAGGAGGGCTGGCTGAGAGGGCTCCAGAGATCTGCTTGTCTCTGCCTGGGATTACAACACAGGCTACGATGCTCAGCATTTTAGATAAATTCCAGGGATGAATCTTGGCTCTTCAAGCTTGCACAGCAAGCACTTTATTGACTGACCCATCACCCTAGGCCCATTTATAGACATGTTCCACCACACCCAGCTATTTGGCCTTTTCAGAAATATGCTTTTTCAGTATTTGTCTCTGTGGGAGGGCGTTCCCAAGGAGGCCAGAAGAGGGTGTTGGATGCCCTGGAGCTGGAGTTCCAGACAGCCGTGAACGGTCCATTGTTGTTGCTGGGAACTGAACCCTGGTCCTCTGAGAGAGTAGGCAGCACTCTTTGAGCACTCAGCCATCTCTCCAACCTCAGTATCTGGCTTTTCTTTGACATGTTCACCCCTTTGCCTCTCTCAGTGACTGAACCCCTGATCTCAGACTAGGAGAAAAAATCACTCAACCCAGAGAGAAATGTCCAAAAGCCAGGATGCTAATGGTCACTACTCACCTTGGTGTTTCCAAAGCCCGGATGACAGTTGAGAGCAGTCGGCCATCTCTTGAAGTCACCTGTGCGACATATTGGGGTGGTCCAAGGCCTGTGGCCTCCACAACCTTGGAGAAGGCAGGGCTGCCAGAGCAGTCGCATAGGGAGCCAGGGAGGTGGCAGCAGTCACCTGTCGTCATGGCCACAGGGAGCCTCCTGTCCTCAGGGCCTGAGGCCCATGGTCCCAGGAGCCTGAGGAGAGGCCAGCAGAGAGATCAAAGGCAAAATATGTGAGTCACAAAAACAGTGGGGTTACTTTTCTTTTTGAGGTGTGCATGCATGTGTGTACATGTGCTCGCCAGTGCATGCCTGTGAGTGTAGGCGAATGTGTGCAAAGGCGCATGAGTAGAGGCCTGCGGTCCAGGAGCACCCATGCTTCCACCTTGTTCCAGACACTAGGCCAGCTGGCCCCCAGCTTCCAGAGACTCTCCTGTCCCCACCTCCTGTTTCACAGCATGAGGACTGGGGTTACATGCAAGGCTCATTGTGCCTGGCTTTACATGGCTTCCCGACGTGTAAACTACCGTCGTCACGTTTGTGCAGCTAGCCTTTCCCCACCATGTGGTCTCCCCAGCCTGACTCCCTCTCCATCTTACTCTACAGCCGGGCTAGCGGAACTTCAGATCCAAGCCTTCTGAATGCTACGTTTTAGACCATGCCTGGTTCTTGAGTCCCATCTTGTCAGGGATTGTGATGGTCATTTTGTTGTCAAACTGACACAATCAAGAATCACCTGTGGTGCACGCCTTTAATCCCAGCACTCGGGAGGTAGAGGCAGGCGGATCTCTGTGAGTTCGAGGACAGCCAGGTCTACAGAGCAGAGTTCCAGGACAGCCTCCAAAGCCACAGAGAAACCCTGTCTACAAAAACAAAACAAAATAAACAAACAAAGGAATCACCTGTAAAAGGGCTCTCAATGAAGAACTGTCTAGACTAGCCAGGGATGTGGTTGTGGGAAGGGACTCTCATGTGGAACTATCTAGACTAGGCTGGATGTTGTTGTGCTTTTGAGGAATATTTTTCTTTTTAAATTATGTTTGTGTATTTTTATGTATGTGAGCATGTGTGCACCAAAGCATGCATGTGGAGGTCAGAGAGCAACTTGCAAAAGTCAGTTCTCTCTTTCCACAATATGGGTTCTGGGGGTTGACCTCAGGTCATCAGGCTTGGTGGCAAGTGTTTTTATCTGCTTAAACAAATGGAGTCTCTCTTACCTACGTATTTTTCCTTCCTTCCTTCCGTCCTTCCTTCCTTCCTTCCTTTTTCCCTCCCTCTCTCCCTCCCTCCCTCCTTCCTTCTTTTCTTGTTTCTTTTTTTTGAGACAGGGTTTTTTTTTGTGTAGCCTTGGCAGTCCCAGAACTAGATCTCTAAACCAAGATGGCCTTGAACTCACAGAGATCTTCCTGCCTCCACCTCCCAAAGTGCTGGGATTAAAGACTTGTGCCACCATCAACAGGCTCCCCCTTTTTCCTAATCAATGATTTGTTTTTATGTTTTTACACAACTTCATTTTTGTTTTATTTTATTTATTTATTTATTTATTTATTTATTTATTTATTTATTTATTTTTGGAGACAAGGTTTCACTGTGTAGCCCTGGCTCTCCTAGAAGTGTGTAGACCAGGCTGGCCTCAAACTCAGAGATCCGCCTGCCTCTGCCTCCCAAGTGCTGGGATTAAAGACGTGCGCCACTACCCTGTTTGGTTTGAACTACAACAGGATGGTTCTGACTATGGAAAAAACACTGAGCGAAGGGCCCACCACACAGTAAGTGTGCAGTTACTTTCAATTGCTGTTCCTAGGTGTACAAATATGACATGGAGGCTGATTTGCAAGATTTGGAAATGGGGGCATGCCTGGCTTTTCCTAGAAGACTGAGAAACTCCAACAGAAGCCCTAGCTGTCCCGCAAGCCTGATCTAATAAGTCATGTATATCAGTTTGTAGAGTTCTTGAATCTACATTTTACAGATGTAAACAGAGATTCCCAAGAGGCAAGTCTTAGAGCCCTGTCTTAGTGTCAGTTCTGCACTGATAAATACTGTGATAAGAGCAATTTAGGGGAGAAGACAGGATTTACTTTAGTTCAACGTTCCAGGTTCCAGTACGTCATTTCAGGGAAGTCACAGCAGCAAGAGCTGGCGGCCATTCGTCATGTCACATTTGTAATCAGGAAAAGAGAGACTGGTCTACAGAGTGAGTTCCAGGACAGACTCCAAAGCTACAGAGAGAAACCCTGTCTCAAAAAACCAAAACAAAAATCTAGCAAGACCAGATCTTGAGACTGCGCTAAAAACACATTAAGCTGTCTTTAACAAAACAGAGTGCATCTACAGAGGCTGGGAGCATGACTCAGAGATAGAGTACCTGCCTAGAATCCAGGGAGGGCCTAGGACAAATGGAACAGCAATGAAGTACTGCCCTAGCATGTGTGCGACTTGGTGTTCAGTTCCCAACACACACACACACACACACACACACACACACACACACACACACACACACACACACACACACACACACGAAGGCAGAGGAGGGGGAGAGAGAGGGAGAACTAGAAACTTAAATGTTTTCCACTGTACCAGAATGGTGAGTCACTCAGGCCCCTTGTGACTCACGGCCTCTGTCGGACTGTGCACTCTAGGAGACCTCAATTCATCAAGGAAATGACACATGTTTGTGTCCCCTGAAGACGAGCTGCTCTGTCCTCAGTTCCCAAGGAGAGGCTGGCTACAGGAAATATTGAATACCTCATTCTAAAGTCTGCTCTGTGTGACTTTGGTGGAACTCTGCCCCCAGCCTTAGGATCTGATCAGCAAAAAGGATCCCTCTGCAGCCTCGTCCTCTTCTCCCGAGTAGCAAGAAGGAGATCCCAGCTTTCCAATCTCTGTAAATTTCCGCTAAGAATGTTTTTCTTTTCTAGTAGCAGGATATGAACTTAGAGACTAGCCTTATCAGGCAGCACCCCACCATTAAGCTTTGCTCCCAGCTCCCTGCCTTCCCACCACTTTAAATTTTTTCCTTTTCCATTTTTAAATTTTTTTAAATTAACTTTATATTACATCCACTTATGGAGGAAAGAGTGGATGCCACAGAGTAGATGGGGACGTCAGAGGACAACTTGCAAGAGTCAGTTCTCTCCTATCAAGTGGGCTTCAGGGGCTCAAGCTCAGGTCACCAGGTTTGGTGGTAAAGCAGTGTATGAAGTATCTCACTGACCCATGATGTTTTAATTTTAGACAGAGCATCACCAAGCTACCCAGGCTGACCTTGCCTGGAGCTTGCTCTGTAGCCTGGGCAGACCTTGAAGTTAAGACTCTCCTGCCTCACATCTTCTAGTAGCTGAGGGCAGAGGATTGTGCCATCATGTCTGACTCTTCTAAGAAATCCCAGAAGGCTCCTTAGACATCATTCCAGAGCCAAAGGTCACTGGTTTCAATTTGTCTAACACCTAGGACTCTTGTCTCTAAAAGTTAAATCCAGAGCCCACAGTAACTCTTACAAACAGTAACTTGCAAATACTATTAGGCCCAACTGATAGGCGCCAAGTCAACTCTAACCAGACCTGCTTGCGAAGATGGAGACCCAAAGACAAGGAAGGTAAATTATTAACTGACTTTTTGCACCTAGACAGTCAGCTGACAGATCAGCTTTTCCCTGAAGAGCTCAGCTGAGAAGCCAGCACGACCTCCTAGGCCTCCACAGCTGAGCCACGGTAGGTCAGATAAGCAAGAATCAACCAAAGTCAGACACAGCCAGGAGGAAGGCTGCAACCCCGAGATAACAGCCATGGGGCACTGGCCAGGCCCGCCTCTCGGACGCTGATGCTCCGTCAACCAGTGTACAGTGGAGAGTCAGTGGGGAAGTGCTGGGCCCTCCGAGAGAGAGCATGCTGAAAAGAGTCCACCTCTCTCTCTCTCTCTCTCTCTCTCTCTCTCTCTCTCTCTCTCTCTCTCTCTCTCTCTCTCTCTCTCTCTCTCTCCCTCCCTCCCTCCCTGCTCCCCTTCTTAGTGATCCTTCCTCTGCCTCCCAAGTGCTAAAAGATGACAGATCTTAGAATTTATATCAACCGTTGTGCATTACAAGAATCATCACAGTCAGGTGTTGGTGGCGCACCCCTTTAGTCCCAGCACTTGGGAGGCAGAGGCAGGTGGATCTCTGTGAGTTCGAGACCAGCCTGGTCGACAAAAGCTAGTTCCAGAACAGCCTCCAAAGCCACTGAGAAACCCCCCCACCCCGTCTCAGAACCACCCCGCCCCCCAAAAAAAACCATCATCACAGTTCCTTCCTTTACCTACTATTGGGAGAAATCCACCAACGCTGGTAAATCTGCTCATACCAGGCCATAAGTTGCTAACGCAGTCACAGCAATGCTGGCCAGGGTAGCACATACCTGTGATTCCAGCACTCTAGACATCGAGACAGGAGGATCAGGCTGCAGAAAGAGCTGGAGATCAAGTGGGCTACCAGAGACCTTGATTGACGAAAACAGAACAAACATCAGCAGATAAAATGGCTCAGCAGGTGAAGACACTATTCCCAGAACCCGGATGGCGGAAGGAAAGAACATACACACACAATGTAATAAACGAAAAAAGCAGCAGCAGCAAAAACGCATTAAACACTGGATATTAAGACTGGGTTGCCGGGCGGTGGTGGCGCACGCCTTTAATCCCAGCACTCAGGAGGCAGAGGCAGGCGGATCTCTGTGAGTTCGAGGTCGGGCTGGACTGACAGCCTCCAAAACAATACAGAGAAACCCTGTCTCGTAAAAACCAAAAAAAAAAAAAAAAAGACTGGGTTTGTCGCTCAGTTGGTAGCATACTTATCTAGCACGCCCAGAGTGCTGAGTTTGCTCCCCACTGCCTTATAAAACTGAGTATGGGGGTGGACACTTGTCGTCCCAGCATTCAGGACATACAAGCAGGAGGATTACAAGTTCAAGGTCACCCTCAGTTGAATATTGAGTCTGAGGCCAGCCTGGGCTACAAGAGACCCTGTCTCAAAATTAAACAAAACACATAAAATATTAGAATACTAAGCTATCTGCCTACATTTGAACTTCAACCAATTGTTGTTAAACGTCTTCTTCAAAGGTCACATCCTTGGAGTACCTCTCAGACCACTCTGGCTAATGTGATACCTCATGGCATGGGGTCCTCTCTGAAATGCTGTTTGTTAATGGACCCGTCACGCCTCTCTTCATACCCTCCAGTGAACTTTATCGGACATTCTTCCTGCTGTCCCCAGCACCCAGTCCTGCAGCAAGCACAGACTGACTGAGTGTAGTGTTGCTGCATTCATTTCTCACTCCCAACTCTGTAACAGACTGGGAGAGTCAGTTAGATGAGCCTCAGAGGCCAGCCTGCCAGTCTCTATGACGGGAAACAGTTCTAGGGCTACTGGGATGGATTTCATCAGGTTTTCACAACTAAACTGTAAGCCCAGTGATTAGCCTCACGGATTGAAGAAGAGGTCAAAGTTCAGAAGGGATGCCTATTCTATTCACTCCAGGTCACCCAGCTAGCAAGGATTTGAACTTAAAATGTACAGTGAGTTGTCTGGCCTTCAAGAGATACTAGTTCTTTTTTGTTGACTTGTTTAATTGTATTGGTTATTAATCTTAATTATGTTTAATTAATCTTATTTTATATGTATGAGCTTTTGCTTGCCTGCATGTAAGTACACGTTGTATACCCAGTAAGTGCTTGATGAGATCAGAAGAGGGAGTTGGATTCCCTAAAACTGGAGTTACAGATGGCTGTAAGCCACCATGAAGGTTCTGGGACTGATACCCAGGTCCTCTGCAAGAGCAGCAAAGATTCTTTCCTTGTTTGTTCTTTAAGACAGGGTTTCTCTGTGTTAACAGTCCTGGAACTTGCTCTCTAGACCAGGATGGCCTCGAACTCACAGAAATCAGCCTGCTTCTGACTCATGAGTGCTGGGATTGAAGGCGTGGGCTTCAGCAGGTATTCTTAACTAGTCTTCAGCCCCTAGGCTTTTTCCCTTGGTTTGCTCTGCTTTTGAGACAGGGCTTCATTCATAACCCACACTGGCCTGGAATTCTCTCTTACTTTTCCTGTCTCAGCATCCTGGGATTATAGGCATGCATCATCACACTCAGATTCTTTTTTTTTTTTTCAGATTAATGTGTATACTCTTTTTGGAAGAAGTGCACCAATAAGGAACTTGGGTATGGGTTTATTTCAGGAGTGTGGGCACATCATTGAAGAGAACATTTCTCCCTCCCTCAGCAACTATAAACTAAATATAGAATCTCAGGCAGCTGGGCATTGGTGGCTCACGCCTTTAATCCCAGCACACGAGAGGCAGAGGCAGGCAGATCTCTGTCAGTTCGAGGCCAGCCTGGTCTACAGAGCGAGTTTCAGGACAGTCTCCAAAACAATACAGAGAAACCCTGTCTTGAAAAACCAAAAAAAAAAAAAAAAAAAAAAAGAATCGCAGGCAAAGGTAACAGGATTCATGAGTATCCCTCACCCATATGTGTCACAGTAGTAATTGAACCCAGAATCTCAAATACGCTGAGTAAGTTACTGAGCTACATTCCAGCCGTTTTTTCTACTGATCGAGTCTTACAGACTCTATGGGTCTGTGGCCCATGTTGTACTAAACTTGCAGCAGTCATCCTGCTCACTCTCCTGCCTCGGTGCCCCAGCTTCCAGGGCTTTTTCATTTTATGTTCAAAACTGGTAAGACGGTTCCTTGCCTAAAGGTGCTTGCCACCACCAAGTCCCGTGAGCCGAGTTTAATCCCCAGAACCCACACAGGAGGAGCAGAGAACAGATTGCCAAAAGTTGTCCTGTGACCACTACAGGTGCTGTAGTGGGCGAGGTGCTCACAAACTCACACACAAACAAGAGAAATAAACGAACGGACAAATGTTCTGAAATACCATGGGGCTAGAGAGAGGTCAGCAGTTAAAAGCATTTACTGCCCTTGCAGAGGCCTTGGGTTTGGTTCCCAGTACCTACATGGAGGCTCACAACTGCCTGCAACTTACAGTTCCAGGGGATCCAACACCCTCTTCTGGCCTCTAAGGGCTCTTACATAATAGACTAAATTCATACAGGCATACATACATAAATTAAAAAAACAGCCAGGCAACGTGGCACACACATTTAGTCCCAGGACCTGGGAGGCAGAGGCAGTTGGATCTTATGAATTCAAAGCTAACCCTGTTCTCCATATGAAGTTCCAGGAGGCTACATAGTGAGACCTTGCCTCAAAAATAAAATTAAATAAAAAAATAAGTTAAAATATAAAAGAGCACTAAATAAAACCAGGGTTATACTAAGTAACTCAGTCAGGCCTTGAACCCTTCCGGTCTCAGCCCATAACAGACATCATGGCCCATGACCTAGGTGCTTCATCCGGGCCTCATATGTCTCCTCTCTCTGTCTCTCTCTCTCTCTCTCTCTCTCTCTCTCTGTGTGTGTGTGTGTGTGTGTGTGTGTGTGTGTGTGTGTGTGTGTGTGTGTGGCACTACTGGGGATTGAACCCCGGGCCTAAAACGTGCTAGGCAAGTACTGAACTACACCCCCAGTCAAGAAACTAAGTTCTAACCCCAGAAGCTCTGCTTCATGTTTACTGTGCGGCCTGGGGTAACAGCCTTAACTTCACTGAGCCTCAATTCGCTCGCTGGGACGAGAGGAATTATTCTTAGTATTTCCACTTAGTATGTTTCCCACTAACCACATACATTTGTGACTACAGCGCTTTTAAAATTGTTTTCAATTTATTGATTTTGTGTGTGTTTGTGCATATGCACGTGGGTGTACTCATGCAAGGATGTGCCTATAGAGTTCAAAAGACAACTTTCTGGAGTCAGTTTTTTCTTCCACCATATGAGACCTCGAGACAGAACTCAGGCAAGCACCGTGACCGGCTGAGCCACCTTGGCAGTTCCTCCCTGACTAGCGTCTGAAAAACAACATTTTCAACACAGTGCACTCTGAGTAGCTGTTTTGTGAAGCGCCCAACTCTTTATAATGTTAATTATTATCCACACAGCACCCTTAGAAAGAGGGTTACAGAATGACATTAGCCCCTCATTGACCACCGACTGTACGCTAGGTGCTTTCCTCATCAGCCATCTCCTAAATCAGGCTGGCTCCCTGATGACCCACTTTTCACAAATGGGGAAACCGAGGCTCAGGAAGGTTCTTACCACGCGCCGAGGCACTGTGACCTCTCACCAACCTCGAAATGAAAACTAAGGGGCCTGTGTTCCGAGCCGGGTTGAGGCCAAGAGTGCAGACCTAGCTGTCCCGCCCGAGTACTGAGTCGGGGCCTCGAACCGGGGACCCGGTAGCCCCGCCTGCATACTTGGGCCTGACCCGCTGTTCCGTGCCTACCTGATTCGCGGCCGGGCCGGGCGGCCGCGCAGGCCCCTCGGTTCTCCCTGGCCCGGGTCCCGGCCCGGCCCGGCCCGTCAGCAGCTGCTTGCTCCGCTCCGGCCGGCACCTGCGTCCGGGCACCGCCCGCCGAGCGGACAGCACGGCGAACCAATGGAGACTGCCTCTCAGCCATATCTGCCAATCAGAGTGCATGTCCCGCCCCAGGAGGTGGGGCCTGCAGCTACGGGGACGTCCTGGGCGGTTCAGGCCCCGCGGCGCCGCAGCTTATGGCCCCGCCCCTGCAGCGTCCTGGCCCCGCCCCCAGAGTGGGCCCGCCTGGTACCGGCTCCTCCCTATCCCAAGCTCTGGCTTGTAGACTTGGCTGCTGGCGTCTGCTGCAGAACAAAGGCGCGCTTAAGTAAACAACGCCTCGACAGAACTGATCTTGACACTCGCCAAGTGATTTCCTACGCTTCTTTTTTCCCTGTCTTTTTTGAAGACAAAGTCCTATGCAGATCAGGCTAGCCACAAACTCACCTTTTAGAGGATGACCTTGAACCTATGATCCTGTCTCTTGGTGATTTTGACGTTCAGAATTTGGACACAACACCACCTTCTCCGTGCTGTAGGGTGCCAGAATCGAACCAACGGCTTTCTGTGTGCTGGGCATTCGTCCTTACCATACCTACCAATCCTAGGGTAAGGAGAGACGTTATGACCACAAAACCAGCCTAGAAGTGTTAGGTTGCTGTGGAGGAGACTAAAGCCAACATTCTTATTCGTCACTCGTTCATGCAAGAGATAAATTTTTAAAAATGGAGCAAGGAGCGGGGCGGTTGTTGGCACACGCTTTAATCCCAGCATTCGGGAGGCAGAGGCAGACGGATCTCTGTGAGTTGGAAACCAACCTGGTCTACAAAGCGAGTCCCAGGATAGTCAGAACAGCCTGTCACAAAACAAACAAAAACGGAGCAAGCGATGGTAGAAAGAGCTGTGGAGATGGCTCAGTGGACAAGAGCTCTTGCCTGGCAAACATGAGGATCTGAGTTAAAGGTCCCAGCACTCATATAAAAAAACTGAATGAAGCCTTGAACTTCTGTAACCAAGTGCTGTGGATGGTGTAGAAATGGAGAGTGGCTGGAGCTTACTGTCAGTCTAGTAATAGTCTTTAATCTCAGCCCTCCGGAGGCAGAGGCAGAAGGATCTCTGTGAGTTCCAGACCAGCCTGGTCTTCAAGAGCTAGTTCCAGGACAGTCTCCAAAGCCACAGAGAAACCCTGTCTTGAAAAAACAAAAACAAAAGATTACAGGTATGTGCTACCACAAACCCACTTTTTCATTATTCATTACCATTACTATTACAGTGCTTTGGATGGAGCCAGAAGCCTCAAATATGATGTTGGCGATCCATCACCAAGCTACACCCCTAAGCTCTGTTTTGTCCTTGTTTTTGTTTGGTTTGGTTTTTTGATACAGGCTCTCAAGAAGCCCAGTCTGGCTTTGAACTGGCTGTGCAGTCTATAATGACCTTGAACTCCTGCTTCCAAGTGTGGACATGGCTGGCTTGAGTCACCATGCTTGGCTTTCATAACATACTTGAGTATGAACATTGTCAGAAACAATGTGGAGTCACTTTTGTTCAGATCCAACAGCAACGGTAAAAAGAAGTTTAAGAGACTGCATATGTGTGGTGGAACAGGCCTTCAATCCCAGCTTTCAGAGGCAGAAGCAGTCAAAGTGAGACCCTGTGTCATCAAAAACAGCAAAAACGCAGACATCATAAAAGAGGATTGATTTTTTTCACTCACCCATGTCTCATAACAACCATAACAAAAGTGATTACAGAGGACATTAGAATTTTGCAAAAATGTTTATGCAAGGACATCCGTTGAACAATGTTTGCACTGTCTCAGACTAACACCACTCTTGCTATTGTTCACTATCTCCAAGGATAATTGATGCAAAATAACTTACATAATCCTTCTCCTTTTGCTTTTTCAGGGTTCCCCTCACCTCTCTGAATATACTCTTCGTCTACAATGATACACACATTGCCATCTTGAGGCTATACATCATCCGCCTGTCTTTCTTCTTGTTTTGTTGTTTTTGTCTGTTTGTTCTGAGCCAGGATCTCCCGTATCCCAGGTTGACCTCTATTTTGCTGAGTAGCCAGACCGTGTAGCTCTCACCTCTACTTCTTGAGGGCTGGGATGACAGGCCTACCTCACGTCACTGCATTGGTATCTGAGGGCTGGATATGGAACCCCAGGCTTTGCCCATGCTAGGCAAGCACTCTACCCACCGAGCTCCAGCTCAAGCCCTGCTTTGTTGTAGAATATTATTTTAAGGTGTGTTACTTTTGTTTGTGTTCTGGAACATTTGTTTAATGACCAGAAGATGCGATTACACAGAAATCACCTGTGGTCAAGAGACTGGGTCAGCAACTAGCTCACAAGAAGTTGTGGGGAGGAACCAGGTGGGGAAGGGTATATAAGGAGCATAGGGGAAATGCACAAGGACTTCTTGAACAACTCAAGCAAGTGAGCTAGGTGAGTTGCTCGATGTTCAGCCTCTCTGGGAAGGAGGATTCTACCTCAACCTTTGAATCTTGATTTTTTGGGGTTTTTTTGTTGGTCTTTTTTTGTTTTTGTTTTTGTTTTTGTTTTTCGAGACAGGGGTTCTCTGTGGCTTTGGAGGCTGTCCTGGAATTCGCTTGGTAGTCCAGGCTGGTCTCGAACTCACAGAGATCTGCCTGCCTCTGCCTCCCCAGTGCTGGGATTAAAGGCGTGCGCCACCAATGCCCGGCTTAGAACACCAACTTTAACATATCCAGTAATTGCTCAACAACAACCACCAGATAATATGCATCCCCAAGACTACACAGAAGTTAATTGGAATCCTGTAGATATGTTAGACTTAAAGAGAGTTAAGGGAGCAGTAGTTTAATATGGTATGCATTCACCCTTTGTAAGACAGATGTTAAATTCATGGGCAACTAAGAATAGAATTATTCCACAAGACTTTGAAGGATTTAGTTTCAGCAGTGTTGGAAGCTGTTCCACAAATACAATGGAGAACTTGGTGGAGAAGGAAGCCAGGGCCAGGAACAATGACGAGGTAAGGCTAGACGTCATGAGATTTCCCAAGACCAAATTCTTTTTTTTAAAGATTTATTTATTTATTTATTTATTATGCACCTGTCTGCATGTATGCTGACACATCAGACGAGGGCACCAAATCTTACTACAGATGGTTGTGAGCCACCGGGTAGTTGTTGGGAATTGAACCCAGAACCTCTGGAAAAGCAGCCAGTGTTCTTAACCTCTGAGCCATCTCTAGCCTCCCAAGACCAAATTCTTGGTGAGGGTCAGTATGCAAAGACAGTGTATGTTGGGTGATGACACCCTGATTCTATGCTGTATAGCAACTTTGAATGCTTGGGACAAGGTTGAAGAATCAGGAAAGGGGATTAAATAATTTACTACAATTATACAAGACCTGAAAGAAGCTTTCACTGATTTTTTTTTGCACAGATTAGTATCAGCTGTACATAGAATGATGTCTGATCCAGATGCTAGACAAATATTAATCGAATTGCTGGCTTTTGATAATACTAATGTATATAATGTAAAAGGGTGACTAGGCCTTTATGGACACTGTCAGCACCCATAGAAGAATGGATCAGACATACAATTGATGTTGACCCCATACTTCTAATGATGATATTTGGATAGGATCAGTGCTTTCTAAAAATATGAAGAAAAATAAGGTGTTTTAATTGCTGTAGACAAGGTCATCTGAAAAGAGAATATAGGCAAATTGCTCTAGAAATGATGTTTATGATAGAAATAATTCAAACAGAAGGCCCCAGCCTTTTATAGTATGCAGAAAGTGTGACAAAGGCAGACATAGGACTAATGAATGTGTATCAACGAGGGACAGGCAAGGTAACCCTTTGCTACCAGAAACACATGACTAGCTAAGTCGGTAAAACATGAGACTCTTAATCTAGGGTTGTGGGTTCATACCCACATTAGGTGCATTTTATTGCTTGAAATTTTTTTTTTTTTTTGGTTTTTTGAGACAGGGTTTCTCTGTGGCTTTGGAGGCTGTCCTGGAACTCGCTCGGTAGACCAGGCTGGTCTCGAACTCACAGAGATCCGCCCGCCTCTGCCTCCTGAGTGCTGGGATTAAAGGTGTGCGCCACCAACGCCTGGCGCTTGAAATATTTTTTATTTTGGCTTTTTTTGAGGGGCCTACCACCTAGCTCCCAAATGAATCACACACGGAGGTTTATTACTAGTTATGAGTGCCTGGCCTTAGCTTGGCTTGTTGCTAGCCAGCTTTTCTTTTCCTTTTTTATTTAAATCAGAAACAAGCTTGCTTCACATGTCAATCCTAGCTCCCTCACCCTCCCCTCCTCCTCGCCCCCCACCAATCACCCCAACACCCACCCTATCTCCACTCTGCTCCCTAGGAAGGATGAGACCCTCCATGGGGGAATCTCCAGGCCAGGGCCTAGGCCCTCCCCCATGTATCCAGGCTGAGAGAGCATCCTCCTCCATTTGGAATGGGCTCCAAAAGTCCATTTGTATGGCAGGAATAAATATTGATCTACTATCTGAGGCCCCATAGATTGCTGAGACCTCCTCACTGACACCCACATTCAGGAGGCCTGGACCAGTCTCATGCTGGCCTCTCAGTCACCAGTCTGGGGTCCATGAGCTCCCCCCCCCTTGTTCAGATCAGCTGCCTCTGTGTGTTTCACCCGCCCAGTCTTGACTCCTTTGCTCATCACTCCTCCCTCTCTGCAAATGGGTTCTAGGAGTTCAGTTCAGTGTTTAGCTGTGGGTGTCTGCCTCTGCTTCTATCAGCCACTGGATGAAGGCTCTAGGATGGCATATAAGGTAGTTATCAATTTCATTATTGGGGAAGGGCATTTAAAGTAGCCTCTCCACTATGGCTTAGTTTGCCAGTTGGTGTCATCCTTGTAGATCTCTGGAAATCTCACTAATGCTAGATCTCTCCTCAAACCTATAATGACTCCCTCTAATATGGTATCTCTCATCCTGCTCTCCTCTGTTCTTTTCCTGACTCAACCTTCCTGCCCCCCCATATCTTCCCCTCCCTCCTCTTCTCCCCCTCCCTTTCTCCCAGCT